TGGTCAGTCTTACATCTGGCTTCTGTCTGTGAGAATAGATCCTTCTTGGTCAGTCTTACATCTGGCTTCTGTCTGAGATTAGATCCTTCTTGGTCAGTCTTACATCTGGCTTCTGTCTGTGAGAATAGATCCTTCTTGGTCAGTCTTACATCTGGCTTCTGTCTATGAGAATAGATCCTTCTTGGTCAGTCTTACATCTGGCTTCTGTCTGAGATTAGATCCTTCTTGGTCAGTCTTACATCTGGCTTCTGTCTGTGAGAATAGATCCTTCTTGGTCAGTCTTACATCTGGCTTCTGTCTGAGATTAGATCCTTCTTGGTCAGTCTTACATCTGGCTTCTGTCTGTGAGAATAGATCCTTCTTGGTCAGTCTTACATCTGGCTTCTGTCTGTGAAAATGTCAGGTTTCCTTCTAGCAAACACATCTTATTTCGTTGTGGTCACCTTTGACATCAGGTTTCCTTCTAGCAAACACATCTGGTATCATTGTGGTCGCTTCTGAGGTCAGGTTTCCTTCTAGCAAACAAATCTGGTATCATTGTGGTCACCTCCGAGGTCAGGTTTCCTTCTAGCAAACACATCTTGTATCGTTGTGGTCACCTCCGAGGTCAGGTTTCCTTCTTGCAAACACATCTTGTATCGTTGTGGTCACCTCCGAGGTCAGGTTTCCTTCTAGCAAACACATCTGGTATCGTTGTGGTCGTTTCCGAGGTCAGGTTTCCTTCTAGCAAACACATCTAGTATCAAGCTCCTCCACTTCTTCTTGTTCACTGTGGTCAGTTTGGTTCCTCGTGTTGACATTAGCTAATGTCCATGTATACTTGTGGGTATCTTTATGCATGAAGACTGTTTCACCAATGACTAGACTGTGGTGGAGACAGAAGTTTATTAGCATTTCTCCACTAATGTCTCTCTCTCCTAGCCCATGTTTCTCTATTATTGTCTCTCTCTCTCCTAGCCCATGTTTCTCTATTATTGTCTCTCTCTCTCCTAGCCCATGTTTCTCCAATATTGTCCCTCTCTCCTAGCCCATGTTTCTCTATTATTGTCCCTCTCTACCAGCCCATGTTTCTCTATTATTGTCTCTCTCTCCTAGCCCATGTTTCTCTATTATTGTCTCTCTCTGCTAGCCCATGTTTCTCTATTATTGTCTCTCTCTCTCTCCTAGCCCATGTTTCTCCATTATTGTCCCTCTCTCCTAGCCCATGTTTCTCCAATATTGTCCCTCTCTCCTAGCCCATGTTTCTCTATTATTGTCCCTCTCTCCTAGCCCATGTTTCTCCATTATTGTCCCTCTCTCCTAGCCCATGTTTCTCTATTATTGTCTCTCTCTCCTAGCCCATGTTTCTCTATTATTGTCCCTCTCTACCAGCCCATGTTTCTCTATTATTGTCCCTCTCTCCTAGCCCATGTTTCTCCATTATTGTCCCTCTCTCCTAGCCCATGTTTCTCTATTATTGTCCCTCTCTACCAGCCCATGTTTCTCTATTATTGTCCCTCTCTCCTAGCCCATGTTTCTCTATTATTGTCTCTCTCTCTCCTAGCCCATGTTTCTCCATTATTGTCCCTCTCTCCTAGCCCATGTTTCTCTATTATTGTCCCTCTCTCCTAGCCCATGTTTCTCCAATATTGTCCCTCTCTCCTAGCCCATGTTTCTCTATTATTGTCCCTCTCTCCTAGCCCATGTTTCTCTATTATTGTCCCTCTCTCCTAGCCCATGTTTTTCCATTATTGTCCCTCTCTCCTAGCCCATGTTTCTCTATTATTGTCCCTCTCTCCTAGCCCATGTTTCTCCAATATTGTCCCTCTCTCCTAGCCCATGTTTCTCTATTATTGTCCCTCTCTCCTAGCCCATGTTTCTCTATTATTGTCCCTCTCTCCTAGCCCATGTTTCTCTTATTATTGTCCCTCTCTCCTAGCCCATGTTTCTCCATTATTGTCCCTCTCTCCTAGCCCATGTTTCTCTATTATTGTCCCTCTCTCCTAGCCCATGTTTCTCCATTATTGTCCCTCTCTCCTAGCCCATCTTTCTCCATTATTGTCCCTCTCTCCTAGCCCATGTTTCTCCATGATGGATTGAAGTCCTATGTTATCCCTTCCCACTTTCACGTTCAAGTCCCCCGTAGCTATAAGTAGGTCATGTTTGGGGACTTCCTTTGTCAGTTCATCAAACTAGGTATAAAACACATCTTTCTTCTCATCACTTCCATGCATAGCATTGTATGGATATAAGTTTCATGAATCTGGACTCGTACATACGTACATATATAGATATACATACACACAGGCATCTGTGCATACATACAAACATACATACATACATACATACATACATACATACATAAATGTATACATAAATGCATACAAAGATACATACTTACATACATAAATGCATACATACATACATACATACGTACGTATGTACATATGTATGTACGTACGTACGCACGTACATATGTACGTACGTACGTATGTACGTACGTACGTACATACATACATACATACATACATACACACACAGACACTCACAGAGACTAATATCCAGACACAGGCACACAGACACATACATGGGTTATATGACTTGCGTAATATGTTGTCGTCATGTGACATAGGCAAAGCACTTATGTCATGTGTTGTCGTTATGTGACATGAGCCATTGTCTAATGTCATGTATTTGTTGTCATCGTTATGTGACTTGTGTCATGGCTTTGTTGTCATCATGTGGCATGGGTTTGCTGTCATTATGTGACACCTGTTGTCATGTGACATGGGTTTGCTGTCATTATGTGACTCCTGTTGTCATCATGTGACATGGGTTTGCTGTCATTATGTGACTCCTGTTGTCATCATGTGACATGGGTTTGCTGTCATTATGTGACTCCTGTTGTCATCATGTGACATGGGTTTGCTGTCATTATGTGACTCCTGTTGTCATCATGTGACATGGGTTTGCTGTCATTATGTGACTCCTGTTGTCATCATGTGACATGGGTTTGCTGTCATTGTGTGACTTCTGTTGTCATCATGTGACATGGGTTTGCTGTCATTATGCGACTCCTGTTGTCATCATGTGACATGGGTTTGCTGTCATTGTGTGACTCCTGTCATGTGTTTGGTGTCTGCCCCCACAGGTACTGGAGGACAACGACTACGGTCGAGCAGTTGACTGGTGGGGTACAGGGGTGGTTATGTATGAGATGATGTGTGGCAGGCTTCCTTTCTACAACAAAGACCATGACGTCCTCTTTGAGCTGATCCTAGTGCAGCATGTCAAGTTCCCCAGAAACCTCTCGGAGGAAGCCAAAAGCCTGCTCAGTGGCTTGCTGATCAAGAAACCCAAGCAGCGGTAAGTCCACTCTACTGTCAGCATGATCACTTGTCAGATAGAAGGTAGTGACATAGTGTCAGCATCAACACTTGTCAGATAGAAGGCAGTGACACAGTGTCGGCATCAACACTTGTCAGATAGAAGGTAGTGACACAGTGTCGGCATGAACACTTGTCAGATAGAAGGCAGTGACACAGTGTCGGCATGAACACTTGTCAGAAAGAAGGCAGTGACACAGTGTCAGCATGAACACTTGTCAGATAGAAGGCAGTGACACAGTGTCAGCATGAACACTTGTCAGATAGAAGGCAGTGACGTAGTGTCAGCGTGAACACTTGTCAGATAGAAGGCAGTGACACAGTGTCAGCATGAACACTTGTCAGATAGAAGGCAGTGACGTAGTGTCAGCGTGAACACTTGTCAGATAGAAGGCAGTGACACAGTGTCAGCATGAACACTTGTCAGATAGAAGGTAGTGACACAGTGACAGCATGAACACTTGTCAGATAGAATGCAGTGACACAGTGTCATCATGAACACTTGTCAGATAGAAGGCAGTGACACAGTGTCAGCATGAACACTTGTCAGATTGAAGGCAGTGACGTAGTGTCAGCATGAACACTTGTCAGATAGAAGGCAGTGACACAGTGACAGCATGAACACTTGTCAGATAGAACGCAGTGACACAGTGTCATCATGAACACTTGTCAGATAGAAGGCAGTGACACAGTGTCGGCATGAACACTTGTCAGATTGAAGGCAGTGACGTAGTGTCGGCGTGAACACTTGTCAGATAGAAGGCAGTGACACATTGTCAGCATGAACACTTGTCAGATAGAAGGCAGTGACACACTGTCAGCATGAACACTTGTCAGATAGAAGGCAGTGACACAGTGTCGGCATGAACACTTGTCAGATAGAAGGCAGTGACACAGTGCCACAGTGTTCATGCCGTCTTGATGGGTATATTATGCCCAGTTTAGCACAGCTAGGTAAGGTCAGTCTGTAACGCCAGGTGGTGCGGGTTTGTCCGAATAGCATATGTTGCCGTCTGCGTTATGGGTTTCATGGGCACTGGATATGTTAGTTTTCCTGTTGCCTTTCAAACTTGCAGATAACTGTAGATCTTGTAGCTTCTACTGTGTTCCCTACATGAATGTTTGTATAACCAATCTGCAATAGCTGGAAACTCCTCTTAAACATTAATGGGACTTGATTTCCTGGAATTTCCTTCAGCGACTTGTGTGTTCCGTGGGTGGCTGTTGTCAAGCTTGTGTGTTCCGTGGGTGGCTGTTGTCAAGCTTGTGTGTTCCGTGGGTGGCTGTTGTCAAGCTTGTGTGTTCCGTGGGTGGCTGTTGTCAAGCTTGTGTGTTCCGTGGGTGGCTGTTGTCAAGCTTGTGTGTTCCGTGGGTGGCTGTTGTCAAGCTTGTGTGTTCCGTGGGTGGCTGTTGTCAAGCTTGTGTGTTCCGTGGGTGGCTGTTGTCAAACTTGTGTGTTCTGTGGGTGGCTGTTGTCAAGCTTGTGTGTTCTGTGGGTGGCTGTTGTCAAGCTTGTGTGTTCTGTGGGTGGCTGTTGTCAAGCTTGTGTGTTCCATGGGTGGCTGTTGTCAAGCTTGTGTGTTCCGTGGGTGGCTGTTGTCAAGCTTGTGTGTTCCGTGGGTGGCTGTTGTCAAGCTTGTGTGTTCCGTGGGTGGCTGTTGTCAAGCTTGTGTGTTCCGTGGGTGGCTGTTGTCAAGCTTGCTTGCAAGAACACACCAGATACCCAGGATAGTGTAAATACAATTTTTTTATTGGTTGCATTTTTGGTTTTCTCCCTTGGCTGCACAGAATGAATGCAGTGAATTTTCAAAACCATCAAATGTACAAATTAATTACTGGCATGAATACAAAGGAAACATCAATAGTAATCACAAAGAAAACTGATCCTCCAAAATGCAATATCAAAGTAAATGGAACAAACCTCAAGCAAGCTGATATGTTTAAATACTTGGGTACCCTGATAACATCAGATGGAAGATGTATTAAGAAAGTTAAATGTCGAAAAGCTCAAGCAAAGGCAGCATTTTACTGAATGAATAATATTTTATGCAATCATTCTTTGTCTACTGAGATGAGAAATAAAATTCATTAAAGCTATATCAGTCCTATATTGATGTACGGGTGTGAATCATGGACAGTTAGTAAATTAGTGAAAACTTATTTAGAAGCTGCAGAGATGTGGTTTTATAGATGAATGATGAGAATACCTTGGACAGATCAAAAGAGTAATGAAGATGTCTTGAAATAAACTGGCTCATGAAGAGAACTTATTGCTCACATCAGAAAGAGACAATCTACAATCTTTGGTCATGTAATGAGAAGGAGAAAACTGGAGTACATAGTGACGGTAGGAAAGTTGGAGGGAAGGAGAGGCAGAGGGAGACCGAGAGAACAGATGCTAGACAGTTTGATATCATGGCATGGAAGATCATCTGTGTCAGAGTTGATTGAAAGTACACGAGACAGAAGGTTGTAGATAGACTTGACTACCAACACCACACGGCATGGACACCAGACAGAAGGTTGTAGATAGACTTGACTACCAACACCACAGGAGATGGACTCTAAGAAGAGAAAGATTCAAACGAAAGTTAATCAAGATTCCAAATATTTCAGCATTTCAACTCTTATATTTGCATTTCACCCTCTCTTTCTCAATTATACAAGGAGTTTTTTTTTTTTTTAATGCGCTTTAGTAAATAAGCTGTTTGTTGTTACAGGTGACCCCACCTTTCAAACCTCAGGTAACTTCAGACACAGACACCCGCTACTTCGATGAAGTGTTCACGGGTGAGCCAGTCAACATCACGCCTCCAGCAGGTGGGGCCCCTCAGCAAGCACTGATGCCCATTGCTGAAGAAATGGAGACCTTGCCTTACTTTGAACAGTTCAGCTACCATGGAAGTCGGGGCAGCCTGGCCAGCAGTAGGATGAGCTTTGAGACAGCCTGGAACTTGTAGTCTTGGCCTGCCTGCCTACCTGAACGTTGTCTTGTGACAGAACTGGAGAGGGTGACAGGATCACCTGCTAGGTTTATTTTACAGGAAAGAGATTTCTTCACTGGTACACACAACTCTAAAGTTCACACAGGTCACTTGTGTGTCCTTATGTGTTTAGAGAATGAGAGATCATCTCGCTGCGTGAAGTCTGTGCAAGAACAGTTTATCCTCATATGTAAAGACAGACAGACAAGGAGATAAACATACAAGGAGATAAACTAAACATACAAGGAGATAAATAAGACAGACAAGGAGATAAACTAAATATACAAGGAGATAAACATACAAGGAGATAAACTAGACATACAAGGAGATAAACATACAATGAGATAAACTAAACATACCAGGAGATAAACTAAACATACAAGAAGATAAACAAGACAGACAAGGAGATAAACTAGACATACAAAGAGATAAACTAAACATACAAGGAGATAAACTAGACAGACAAGGAGATAAACTGGATGCAAGGAGATAAATTAGACACAAGGAAATAAACTAGACAGACAAGGAGATAAATTTAATAGACAAGAAGATAAAAAAGACACACAAGGTGATAAGCTAGGCACACAAAGAGATAAATTAGACAGACAAAGAGATAAACTAGAAACACAAGATAATAAACTAGAAACTTAGTTAGATGAACTAGACAGACAAGGAGATAAACTAGAAACACAAGAAGATAAAGTAGACACACAAGGAGATAAAGTAGACATGCAAGGGAATAAATTAGGTACATAAGGAGATAAAGTAGACACTCAAGAAGATGAACTAGACAAACAAGGAGATAAACTAGAAACACAAGGAGATAAATAAGACAGACAAGGAGATAAACTTGAAACACAATGAGATAAACTAGAAACACAAGGAGATAAATAAGACAGATGAGGAGATAAACTAGAAACACAAGGAGATAAACTAGAAACTCAGTGAGATGAACTAGACAGACAAGGAGATAAACTAGAAACACAAGGAGATAAACTTGAAACACAAGGAGATAAACTAGAAACACAATGAGATAAATAGAAACTCTGTGAGATGAACTAGACAGACAAGGAGATAAACTAGAAACACAAGGAGATAAACTAGAAACTCAGTGAGATGAACTAGACAGACAAGGAGATAAACTAGAAACACAAGGAGATAAACTAGAAACGCAAGAAGATAAACTAGAAACACAAGGAGATAAACTAGAAACTCAGTGAGATGAACTAGACAGACAAGGAGATAAACTAGAAACACAAGGAGATAAACTAGAAACACAAGGAGATAAACTAGAAACACAAGGAGATAAACTAGAAACTCAGTGAGATGAACTAGACAGACAAGGAGATAAACTAGAAACACAAGGAGATAAATAAGACAGACAAGGAGATAAACTAGAAACTCAAGGAGATAAACTAGAAACACAAGGAGATAAACTAGAAACACAAGGAGATAAACTAGAAACACAAGGAGATAAACTAGAAACTCAAGGAGATAAACTAGAAACTCAGTGAGATGAACAAGACAGACAAGGAGATAAACTAGAAACTCAATGAGATGAACAAGACAGACAAGGAGATAAAACTAGAAACTCAGTGAGATGAACTAGACAGACAAGGAGATAAACTATTAAACTGTAATAGCTTTGCTGGTTCTAGTGGCCGGGGTTGTTAGGGCTAGCTACCATTGTAGCCAAGACCAGCTGCCACTGGTTGACTGATGTGGCCGGGGCTTGTAGCCGTGACCAGCTGCCACTGGTTGACTGATGTGGCCGGGGTTGTAGCCGTGACCAGATGCCACTGGTTGACTGATGTGGCCAGGGCTTGAAGCCGTGACCAACTGCCACTGGTTGACTGATGTGGCTGGCCCTTGCTAGCCTTTATTACAATTTAGATATTTTCTGATTCTAGGTTAGTTTGTCCTGAGAACCAGTCAGTTTTACTCTGGTCCATGGAGGGGGAGCAAACACCTGACCTCTGGGCCAGAAGGCAACCATCACAGAATGTGTTGGGATCAAACCTGGTGGCTAGTATTGTTTGCACATTGTAACTAAGAGCTGTTCTGTACAGAGTCATTGGTCGAGGTAATCCCCTGGAGGGTACTGTTTCGATCTTTACATGTTCTAGGCCAGGGCAAGTCAACTGGCCTGCAGAGGCCTAGCAAGTGGCCCTCTGGTCATTGCCAGCTTGTATTAATAATCATTTTATGCTGGGGATTAGGCCTCTGACCCGTGGCTGTTTCCATCTTTCCTTTCCTGAAAATTATGACAGTTATCAGATACCAGTTTGATAAGACCCCCCCCCCCCCCCCCCTCCCTCGGTCATTTTGGTCCGTAACAAGTTTCTGCTGCCAGTTTTCAGTGCTAAGGAATGAACTGGCACTCTTGTCTTGGTAAGCATGCACACTGTTCACTATGCCACCAAGGCTGCTTCCAGTTGCATGGATTTTCTGTGCTGTCTCAGCACATGTACTCTCATTTCACTCTGGATTTTGATTACTGTCTCTGTCTGTGCCTGACTGCACTGTCCAGGCTCTGTGCCTGACTGCACTGTCCAGGCTCTGTGCCTGACTGCACTGTCCTGGCTCTGTGCCTGACTGCACTGTCCAGGCTCTGTGCCTGACTGCACTGTCCAGGCTCTGTGCCTGACTGCACTTTCCTGCTGTGCCTGACTGCACTGTCCTGGCTCTGTGCCTGACTGCACTTTCCTGGCTCTGTGCCTGACTGCACTTTCCTGGCTCTGTGCCTGACTGCACTTTCCTGGCTCTGTGCCAGACCCCAGCCTTTATGGCTCTGTGCCAGACCCCAGCTTCCTGGCTCTGTGCCAGACCCCAACTTCCTGGCTCTGTGCCAGACCCCAGCTTCCTGGCTCTGTGCCAGACCCCAGCTTCCTGGCTCTGTGCCAGACCCCAGCTTCCTGGCTCTGTGCCAGACCCCAGCTTCCTGGCTCTGTGCCAGACCCCAGCTTCCTGGCTCTGTGCCAGACCCCAGCTTCATGGCTCTGTGCCAGACCCCAGCTTCCTGGCTCTGCCAGACCCCAGCTTGTCTGGCTCTGTGTCAGACCCCTGCTTCCTGGCTCTGTGCCAGACCTCAGCCTGTCTGGCTCTGTGTCAGACCTCAGCCTGTCTGGCTCTGTGTCAGACCCAAATTCCTGGCTCAGTGCCAGACCTCAGCCTGTCTGGCTCTGTGTCAGACCCCAGCTTCCTGGCTCTGTGCCAGACCTTAACCTGTCTGGCTCTGTGTCAGACCCCAACAGTCCATAATGCAGAAGTTTAGATTCAGGTTTGTCTCTGTGGAGGCAGAGATCCCCCACCATCCCTCACTCGTCCTTGAAAACCAGGAGCTAAACTTGTGTAGGTAGAGTTGATTTTGGGGCTGTTTCAGGGACCTCCAGCTCAGCCTCTTCTACACCAGCAGTTGCCATTGTTTGGGGCCTCTTCTACATCAGCAGTTGCTATTGTTTGGGGCCTCTTCTACACCAGCAGTCGCCATTGTTTGGGGCCTCTTCTACATCAGCAGTTGCCATTGTTTGGGGCCTCTTCTACACCAGCAGTTGCCATTGTTTGGGGCCTCTTCTACATCAGCAGTTGCTATTGTTTGAGGCCTCTTCTACCTCAGCAGTTGCCATTGTTTGGGGCCTCTTCTACATCAGCAGTTGCTATTGTTTGGGGCCTCTTCTACATCAGCAGTTGCTATTGTTTGGGGCCTCTTCTACATCAGCAGTTGCCATTGTTTGGGGCCTCTTCTACACCAGCAGTTGCCATTGTTTGGGGCCTCTTCTACATCAGCAGTTGCCATTGTTCTAAGCCTCTTCTACACCAGCAGTTGCCATTGTTTGGGGCCTCTTGTACACCAGCAGTTGCTATTGTTTGGGGCCTCTTCTACATCAGCAGTTGCCATTGTTTGGGGCCTCTTCTACATCAGCAGTTGCTATTGTTTGGGGCCTCTTCAACATCAGCAGTTGCTATTGTTTGGGGTCTCTTCTACATCAGCAGTTGCCATTGTTTGGGGCCTCTTCTACATCAGCAGTTGCCATTGTTTGGGGCCTCTTGTACACCAGCAGTTGCTATTGTTTGGGGCCTCTTCTACACCAGCAGTTGCTATTGTTTGGGGCCTCTTCTACATCAGCAGTTGCTATTGTTCATGACTAGTTTATCTGACAATCAGGTTATCTCATTTCCAGCATCATAGCAGAAGGCATGAGCCCATAGTTGCTGCGTTCTTGTGCCATAAGAAGCCATACAAAATGTCCAACATTGTCCTTTGTGGACCAACTGACATCTAGCTTTGTTGGTGTTGTCCATAAGAAATACAGAATATCCAAAATTGTCTTTTGTGGACCAACTGACATCTAAATTTGTTGGTGTTGTGCCATTGGGAACCATACAGAATGTCCAACATTGTCTTTTGTGGACCAACTGACATCTAGCTTTGTTGGTGTTGTGCCATAGGGAACCATACAGAATGTCCAACATTGTCTTTTGTGGACCAACTGACATCTAAATTTGTTGGTGTTGTGCATACTTGTGGATGTTACTGTCTAGTTGCAGGATAGGATAGTCTGATCTAGGAGAGACAGACAGTGCTATATAGTATTGGAAAATGTTGCCATAGTTAGACAGACATAACTAAGATGGGAGAATGGTCCTGTAGCTTTACTGAGACAGTGACGATCTGGTTAGCCAGACAATACGTCAGTTAGAAACTGGAAGTGTAGTTAATTATATTGTGCTGGAAGTAGAAACATGATGCTCCAGCCAAACACAGTACTGAGCAAAGGAAAATCGTATGCCAGTTAGATAGACAGTACTTAATGTATAGAACCTGTGATGTGTGTGATCTGCATTTGTTTGCCTGTATCTATTATGTTCTTGCTGTCTGGTACAGTCATGTTAAATAATCATCTGTGCCATCCAAGGTCTGTGTCATATCATTGTCTCACTGCTTCATGATTCTAGCTGCTGCAGATGTGGCCTTA